GACGCCGATGACGACCAGCTCCGGCGCCCGCGCCCGGCCCTGGCGTCCTGCCCCACTGCGCGCGCAGAAGACGCGCGCTCCGGCGCCCAGCCCGCCCCCCCCCCTGCGCGGCGACGACATGTATGTTCCTCCTCTCCCTTTCTCTGTTGTGCTGCGTCTGTGTTTTGAACATAGTAAGGCTTCGATTTTGGCGATTAGGGTGAAGTGGGGCGGATGGTTAGTAGTTTTGCGGGCAATTGAGTTCACTGTATGCAATTTGAGCTGTCACTGTTTTTGTGTGGTTTTTTAGTGCGAAGTTGTATTTGAGAACACTTTCAGAGCGCAGAATTTGCTCAGCTGCTGAGATTTGTAGACGTCCTAGCTGTTGGATAAAATATGACAATGGTTTTATGATTGATAGAAGTTTTCTGTTTTGGAGGCTATTATCAGTGGACAGCTAGTTACCATAACCGTAACACATCAGGTCATCTTGTGGCATGGAATTGTTCATCTTAGGAATACCTTATTTATCTCTTTTTACAAACAGAACATTAGAAAATCTAGATCGACAAAATGTATGAAGGCCTATCACATCATTTTTACAAAGTTAAATCTTCAATTATGAGAAAGATGCCATAGTTCTTTCTTTTTACATACTTGCTAAAATCTGGATTAGATTTTTGGAAGGCATCGTGGCAAGCTGTTCCAGAGTGTTGTTTTAAGAAGACTGATTAGATTATTATTAAATTAATGGGCTAATAACATACAGCATAAGTGTTTTGAACAATGAAATGCTTAAAGGTGAAACTCATGACTACAACATATGTGATACAGAATTAGATGATGTGTTTTGTGAAAGATTTAAAGTAGTTCTGGATAGGACAATTTAACACATAATTTTTACTTGTTTTACTCATCAAAATCTTTTGTCAAAAAAAAAAAAAACTTTCTGTATCGTGTGATTGTGTCCATGGAATTGTGTTATAATGAGCCTCAATGCTGGGCATATAAGTCCAAAACTGATTTTATTTGATCTTCTTAATTATATTGCTTATGCAATTCTATGCCTTCGCCTTCAGACTTGTCGTAAGATTGAGTAGCAAACCACTGGTGGTCCTGAACATGTTTTCACTTCTCAATATGCAATTCGTACAGTTGGGCTCAAAGGACCAGCCACTGAGGAAACTCCCACTAAGTTAGTCACACTAGAAAATGGTACATGCTACTGTTAGATGTACCACTGAAGGGAATGAAATTGTTTATCTTTATATCTGGTTACAAAACTGCTTGTATTTGTTTCAAAAATACAAACTGTTGCTTCATTATTCACTATTTTCTTGTTAGTGTCTCATGTTAATATTTAATCTTGCTGTTAGATATGCCTTTTTTATTGAAAAGTTCAAGTCTTGGTGGAGGTCATGCTTTCGTAATACAAACTGTTGCTTGCTTCATTATACTACTAGAAAACCTGGGGCGCGGCGTTGCCGCGCCATGAGTGATTCTACGTGGGATTTATATCGTTTAGAATTTCTTTTGTTTGATGTCTGATTACTTTTGTATCAGCGAGGGCAAGGAAATGAAAGCACCTTCGTAGCAATAGTGTAAGGGTAAATATGTTTGATTATTTATTCTTCTATTCTTAAAAAATATGCTTTCGGTTGAGATTGCAAAGTCTTTTTGCTTCGTAGCATACATTAAGCTCTGACATGATGTAAGCGAGAGTAGAGGAAGAGAGAAATGCAATTGTTTTCCGATGACATTTGACTCAAACTGAGCAGAAAATGTTGTCTCTACTGCCTTGAAATTCTATAGTGTTCTTTAAACTACATGATTTGAGGCGTCAAGATCTCACAAATGTAAAATTACGGTGCCATGAAATTTGCTTGCTGCAATGTAGATAAGTTCCATGTAAGAAATAAAGTGGTACTTTTTGTGCCACAAAAGTAATATGCATACTCCATTTTATTTGTAGGAGAGTTTGATAGATCCATCACAGTGCATCTATCTCAACAGTTGCGTGGACACAATATGGCATATTCCTCCATGTTGCGTTTTTTATATTTTGGGGAACTGATAGCTACTCCTATATGTAGGCCTAATTTAGAAACTCCAATCCCTTAGAGATCCCGGACTTTTCCCTGTGTGGGTAATCCATGGAGATATCATTCTAATTATCATTCTAGTTCTTAGTGGGGGGTTTTCCATCCCTGAGTTTTGTCCTCTTGCTTCCAAAAAGAGCCCCTAATAGTATAGACTCCTGTTCAAGTAACAATGATAATATGCTTCATAAGCTCCACCAGGTTCTCAGATCAAGCATATGAGAATGTCTCCTCTGATCTGTAAATTTGCATAGAGTCAATACTAAGATGTGAACATTTCATATTAGCTACAACATCTGGTTGCATACAGTGCTTACCAAAAAACATCATGGCATATCTGATGGCTCAGATGGTGCACTGAAGTATGTGAGCATGTCTCCTGATCTTTATATTTTACAATGCTTACCAAAAACATCATGGTATATCTGATGGCTACAAAGCGACACTGAATATGTGTGTCCAACACTAATTGTCTTGGTGTATTTGGTGGGCTATATCAATATGTTCAAAAGCAGCATATCTTTGGGAATTGAAACCACTGCTAATCAAAATCGACTCACACAATAACCAATTTCTGAGAAATCAAACTTGTGAAACTTGCAGATTTGGCTCCAAAGAATCATGCAACTTGCGTAGAGAACTTTGCAAAAATCTTTCAAGTGCATTAATGTGTAGATTTCATACGAAAATCTATAGTTTTGGTTTCCACCCTTGCCAATTCCCTGAGATCCCTGGCGTTTAAGATTGGCTGCCTTGTCGGCCACCATTGGCGTCTTCCCCACTGGAGCAAGCCAATTTTTGTCAATGGGCAGAAGAATACAGATCTTTTCACCATCCTGGTAGTACCAGCTAACAACTGGGGTCTGGAAATGTACTGAAAATAGTTCAACCATATGCCTAAAATCAAAGTAATACAAGTAGGTAATTTCCCTTTGCGTATGTACCGTACACCATATCTCACACATGCACACGAATTACAGGCGATTTTTATCTGGTGGTGCATGCTTTCTGTTAAGTGGTAAAGGGCAAGAAAATTGTGGATCACACACAAACTGTTGAAACTGGTATTTTTTCCTGCATGCATATAGACAGGGAAAAAACAAAGTATCATTAGATACAATTATCACAGATACTTTTTTTTTGAGGGAACAATTAGCAGAAATACTGACAATCAACTAACTCAACATGTATCTGATCAAATCATTACGCTCCTCAGTTGAGCAATCATGTTTTGGCTTTTTGTTTTCGGGTAAAAAAGCTTCATATCTTGTGTTAACAACAGAATTTCCACCTGATTCAGCTAAACAGTTGACTTCTTCATCTGTCCACTCATCCAGATTCACAGAAATCACCTATACTCCATTCAAAATGAATAGTCGATTAGTTCAATATAAGGACACAATATGCTCAGGTTTAGAACTTTAACAGTAAACATAGAGTAGCATTACAATTAAAAATTGGGCATTAATCATTTTCCACAGTAATTCATAGAGTGTATCCTTTTGACAAGGGAAATAATGAGTGACTGCAATGCACATTTATTGGTAAAGTAGGCTATATGTTCTTTAAAAAAAAATTAAATTTTGGAGCCTTGCTTTATATAATAGGTCCAACAGAAAAGGAAATTGGAATATGCCAATCTGTGGTAAAAATGACAGAACATATAGGAACTAAAAAAACAAAGAGTGAAGTTCATTGGCCACCTTTCATATGTGCACACCAAGACTTCTATGACTTCCAGAGCACTTAATGCAGATGAATGCGCCAAAAGGCAGGGCCCTACAAGTGCAAAAGCAGTTTAATTGTAAACGAAATCTTGAGGACCATCTGAAATATAAGATTGAAGTTTATGTGCGCTCCAAATTTATTTTTTTGTATAATTATTTGTCAGAACCGCATGTCTAATTAAAACAATCAGACCAAACATTTACCCCAAATGCTTAAGTTAGGTTAACTCAAATGTTCATATTTTCATGTTTGGTCATTTATGTACTAAAGCAGTAAAGCTGTATAAATACAATGTCAGACCCCCTTTAAAGAGACTTTACAAAACTGACGGAGGACAACTATCCTATGCCAAAAGGCAACTCTATCAGTGTTTTGCAAGCATAAGCCAAATTGATTGAATATTCAGAGCGAATGAAATATGTGACACATACGCCCATTTTGGATCTGGATTGCCACAGTCTGCGCAGTATTTGTTTGCTGGTTGGTTCAACAAATACTCCAACATTTCCCTTGCATTAGCTGGATCGGTATCTGAAAACCATCACAAAGAAATCATTTGGAGATCAGTAGTCATTTGCAGCAGTAACACATAAATCAGGCATCGCCAGTTAATCAACAAATAGTAAAGGATATAGTACTAGCAGCTCCACCTACACAACATTTATCACATGAGGCTATTTATTTAGTCCAATTTCTCTCACATCAAGCTAATTATAATTTTAGGTAGTGTCAATTTAATGGTGATTGATAATATCAATCACATCCTTTCTTCAATCGAAATAGCAATGAAATAATATAGAAAAATATCACAGAAGATTCACAAAGGTGCAAACGGGAAAGGAAGATGTCACAGAACATTCACAAACCTGATGTCTCGGAGTGATCATCGCCACCTTGCTGGGCTTGAAATCCGTCGCATGTCCTTCAAGACAAATAGGAGCAAACCATAAAACTGCCATTTCCTTGGAAATGTGCATGTCCCGGATGGACAGATGCGAAAGATGGAGCAAGAGATTGCATCAATAAAAATAAAATCAGAAAGAAGACCGGAAAAAACTACCAACCTTCTGTAATGGGCGGTTGGGGTATCAAGAAAATGCAGAAGATTGTTGCCCTCCATCCCCTGTCGTTCCATGTTCTCTCTCACTCTACCTCCTGAACTCATGGAAGAGAAGAAGAACGGGGTGACCCGCCATGACCACACAACCCGTGATTAAATCAAGAACCAGGGTTCCGTGTGGCGCCCTGATCAAATTGGCTGGACAAACAAACGGGGCAAGCAAGCGGATGAGAATTGAAGGTGGGGGACGGCACAGAAGCTGTAGCCTGTACGCTGTGGCCGGAGCTGCGGAGGCGGTGGTGTCCAGCACATCTGTAACGGCGGCAGTGGCGATCCGGGCATCCGACCTTGGGTTGCGCCGCTGTTGCTACTGTAGCTGTCGGCGAATCCATGCGGCCAGCAGTAACAGCACCACGGCAGAAATTTGCTGCCTGGAGACGAAGAGGAGTAGCAAAAGCTCGAGCACCTTCTTGGCATGGCCTCTACCGAGCTCATCTACGGGCTACCTCTGCCAAGCGCACACGCCGCCGCCGTCGCCCGCGCTGCTCCTTGTGCTGCTGCCCGCCGTCGTGCCTCGCATCGCCGCCTCGACAGATCCTGCGTGAGCGCCGTCGCCACCGAGGTCTGCGCGCGCTGCTGCTGACGTCGCCGCCTCGCGCTCCTGCTCGCGCCGCCGCTAGGGTTAGTTTAGGCGAAGGGAGGAGCGAGGGACGAGCAGGAGGGAGATGCGCGGCGCAGCAGAAGAGGAGGCCTGGACTGCGGGTTGATTCGACTAAAGTTCGAGGGTTTTTTTGCAAAAAGACCACGGCTCGCCCGATCTGGGCCGTCCGCGCGTCCGATCGAACGGCAGGGAAAAGCAGGCGACGTGGCACGCTGACTGGCCAGCTTTTGGAGGCAGGATTCATATGTAAAGATGTTATCCACAGTAGTTCCTTGTTGCTCAAAAAAGAGGTGTACTGTTCTGTAGTTAAAACTTAAAACTATTGCACCAAAGAAGATAAATGCCCACACCAGTACACCACATGTCATTGATTTTCAACATATATTGATCTTGTTCCTATGTAGTCTTAATCCATTTCCGGTTGGATTTAGTTCTGGAATATGAATAATGCACTAGCCATTTATCTTTGTTTTTCTTTTTCATCTCTTAAGTCTTATTTCCCTGCCTGTGGTCATCTTTTATGTATGGTTCCACTCTACTACCTTCTCTCTGATGAATTTGATCCCGATTCTAAATAAGTTACTTTCTAATTCAGATTCTACAATATAATCCTTCTCACAGTTCAGATTCTAAGAATTCAAAAATGATGCAAACATGCCATAGGACTTGTTTATTAGTTACAAGCAATCTTGCCAGCTGGTGCTCTTTGAAACCTGAGGCAGGCCATGGCCATGAACCAAATAGGTTAAGCGCACTGGCTGTCTAAGCTACTTTTTTTTGGCAATAGCTGTGCTGCTACTTTTTTTTGACTGATGCCATGGAATGGAATGAATCTTTTTTCCAGTTAAGTTACCATTCTCTCTTCTCTCACCTCTCTTCTCCTCTCTTCTATCTTCTCCTCTCTTCTCTCTTGTTTGGCAGCAGCTGTTGCTTTTTTTTTGCCAAATCTCTCCTCTCCTCTCCTCTCCTTTGTTTTGCCGATGATGAAATTGTCCAAGTCCATACATTATATGGAATATGAGCTGATGATCAAGAATTTGTGAGGAACTTGGCATCATTAGCAGTCGCCCCTACATTACCTTCTCCTCTCTTCTCTGTTATGATGTCTTGATGCACCAAGTTTATGATCAAATGATGATTGACATGTTTCTGAGGCCTCTACTACTGCCACTACTAGTTTTTTTGATATATTGTTGTTTTATAGGACTTTTTTTTGACATGTTTCTAAAGCACACTTTCTTGCATCTATTAGAACAAAGCGCGAAATAATGTCGCGGACACCAGACAATGCAGCCCGATGCCTCGAGCCTAATGAGCAGCCAACCCTTGAGGAGCAAGCACTAGAGGACCAGCTTACTCAGGAACAGTTCGATAACGAGGCAGAAAAGGATCTAGAAGTGATGCTTACTCAGGAGCAGTGTGACGAGGAGGAAGGCCCCGAAGGAGAGGCCGCTGAAGGCGAAGAAGAAGAGGATGATGACTCCGAAGAGGGATATGTAAGTCCCAAGGATCCTTTCCCACGTGAAGCCAGAAGGAGGCCAACAGAGGAAGATTTGGACAAGGACTTTGACCCGAACAAGGAGGTAGGGAAAAAGCCTTAGCTTGTAAATTTTGCTAAAGATTTGGCTGTGTTACCTCTGCTAACACTTTGACCTGTCGTATATACAGGTCCCTCTTGAAACTCGGAAAAGACGACGTCGACGTCCGCGACATCTCGCTGGACAAGACGAAGTAGAGAAAAGGAGAGCAGAGGCAACAGCCACAGAGACGGATCACGATGCCTCTGCTCCACAACCTGAAGACACAACCATGACTACCAAGCCTAAGAGGAAATGAGGGGATAGAAAAGGAAATCTATATCCAGATAAGGCATGCTATGTGATAACGGAGGTCGGGCCAGCAGGGGAGGTCCTTGAGCCGAAGGAATTAAGAGGACGATTCCGTAATGCGATTGGGGCCCTTGTAAGAGATAAATTGAACCCAACAATCCATAACTGGAAAGAGGTACCAGAGAACAAAAAGAATGAACTATGGGATAGGAAAATTTGAGGTCAATTTTAGATTTCGGAGGGTAAGCACTGAATCGGTAAAAAAATGCTGCGAGGATGATGGGAGGCATCACGTTGGAGGTCGGAGCTCAACATGAAGTATATCCAAAAGGGGTTAACTCCCTTCAAAGAGTTCGACAAAATAACTCCTAGTCAATGGGAGGAGCTCGTGGCTCAGAAGACTTCACCGGAGGCATTGGAGCTCAGTGCCCATAACATAAGGATGGCAACGGGGCGGGTTCGGATCGGGTGGAGTGCCTGGGCACCCAAAACCGAAACCCAAACCAAAAATCCAAATCTGACCCGAAAACCGATTCGGGTGAAAATCCATCCCCGGAACCGAAACCCGCGGGTACCCGAAACCCGACGGATTAACTGAAACCCGAACATGAACAGCACAGTGCACAGTATGCCAGTCTTAATCAATACAGTAACAGTACAATACAACAACAATTTCACTAACAATTTCAGCAACAATACCAGGTGAGTACAGTAACAATACAAGTCTTAAACACCAAGTTCAGGGAGAATACAACAACAATTTTAGGGAGAAGTTCACAGCAACCCTTCTGCTTGTGAAAATTAAGAGAAACCAATAAGCTCCGCGGGTTCCTAATGGGCCTTTAGTAGGCCGAATTATTTCGGGTACCCGATGGAGCTCCGTGGGTTATTTTTCAAACCCGCCCCTAACCCGTGGTATTTCGGGTATCCGAACCCGAAAAACCGTCGGCGAAAACAATGAACCAAAACCGAAACCCGCGGACCCAAAACCCGCGGATATCCGACCCGAAACTAAACCACTGCCATCCTTACCGTAACACCGAGCTGGCGAAGAGGAACAAACACCACCATCATCTAGGCCCTGGTGGCTACTATGCAAGGAAGAGCAGTTTAGGAAGATGGACGAAGAGACCGCAACTGTTGGGAATATCGATGTGATGAATTTGAAGGTACGCTCAAGGAACTGGATATATGCGAGGAGTACAGAATCATCCGGTAGTAATCTTAAGTTTGATAAGCCGGAGACCCAAGAGGCGGTATCAAGGATACTAAAATATGCTGAAGACAAGGACAAGGGCTCATTCAATCCTTCTAGAGAGAGGGACGAGCTTAGCCTTGGCTTAGGAAACAAGGAGCACACAGGCCGCACCAGGGGGCTAGGGAAAAGGATGACCTGGAAGCAAGGATTCGAAGAGGACAGGCACATGTACAAGAAACATGGCCGAGACCGGGAGACTAGTCTTGAGCTCCAAGTGAAGGCTCTAGTTGCGAAGGCGCTGGAGGAGCAAGGACTGTCTACGGAGCCACGGATATTAGTGACGCCGCTGGGAGAACTGGCATTAGTTGGCAGCCCACTGAAAGTTCCTAGCAGCCAAGGTTCCACTACAGCCACAACCCCCATCGATCGCATACGGGAACCAACTAGTTGCACCTTGGTGTTTCTCAGCGGCCGGCAGAACACTATGATTGAGGTGGCAACTGGTGTGGCACATCCTTCCGGTGGCTTACACCACAATAATAAGATACCGCCGGACTACACTAGGGTCGAGGTGCATACCGTGAAGCCCGAGTTCATGCAGTGGAGGATAGACTACGCAACTCCTAAGGGGCTGGTGTTACTCGGAGACGTTATTGGGCAGTTCATCCTCTGGCACAAACGGGATATTATATTGACTGCTTCTTCGCCGCCTCCCCCTCTCCTAAATTTGGAGCGAGTTGTTGAGGTTGGGGAGATATTTTCACCGTCTCGTGACCACCACATACTTGAGATGCCACATTCTTCCCCGCCTCCTAGCGAGCATGTGCCTGATGAGATGCCACAACCTTCTCCAGCTCGTACCAAGCAAGTGCATGATGAGATGCCACAATCTTTTCAACAAGCACAGCCAATACATGAACAATGAGTGCCTCCTAAAGAAGGTGATGCATAAGAAGACGAGGACGTGCCTGAATGGGAACTTTGAAAGAAGATTCCAATCAACATAAGGCCAATTTATGTTCCGGTGAAAGACGTCTCGTCGGTGTCCATGTGGTATTCCCATGACCAGTTCAAGCCTGAGAACCAAGTTAAAAAAGTCCCATCACGGGGTTCTAAGGAGGCCGTAACTAGCAAACTCCACCAAATTGCAAAGCAGTATCCAAATGTTGATGATATCAAATGGTCAAAGGATTGCCCGAAAACATATGAAAGAGGCAAGCCCTTCATACCAAACCGGGACATCCAGCGCCTACCACTTAGAATGAGAAGGTTCCATGATTGGTACTTGCGTGTTCTTCTAACGAGCATAGATCTCGTACAAGCATGCTTTCCCACCGGCACATTTGGAAGCCCAGCCGGGAAAATTGTCTTTGACTTCAATGACATGCACACATGCTTTCACCTAGGAGAAATGGAGATGAATCTAATTCGCACGTGGTGCTTGTAAGTCCTTGTCCTCCCGATATGATATGAATGTAATCTTTGAATTTTGTTGTAACTAACCCACGCTGTGATTTATAGAATGCAAGTGCACATTGTGAAACAAATGCCAAGTCTAAAAGCCGGGTATGTAGACCCTCAAGCTATAGCCCAAACAAATTTTAATTACCCTAATCAGTGGACACTGGATGCCAAAGAGCTAGCTGCTGCAAAAACTCTTCGGGAGAAGGAGCGCATCCGTATGACGAAACTAAAGGAAGAGCCCCTTAAGGTTGCGGCATACATTGCTCTGGCTTTCAAAAATCTACAACAACACTCTACTATATGGCTACCATACAACTTCGAGTAAGTTCAACTATATACTTAAAGCTTTGTTTGATATATTTTATTCGATGCAAAAGAGCTTATCTAGTTCTATGATTAAATCCATGCAGCAACCACTGGATTTGTATAGCCATCGATATCGGGAGGAGCATG